CGACCCATAAAGCTGGCAATACTCTTGATCTCGCTTGGACTAACATATCTGGAGCCCGTGCTTGGGTCGATAGAGAGGAGTGTATGACCAGCGACCATCTTCCGATGCGCGGAATCGTACCTGCGGCAACCTTCACCGGGAACTCGGGCCCATTGAAGATCAGAGTGCCCAAGAAAAATCTGTCAAATTTTGCGCATGCTGTGGCAAAGTGGGTGCATCCGCCATTAGATTTGAGTACAAAAGACAAAGTGGATGAGTATGCCCAAGAGATTTGCTTCCATCTCTCGGAGGCCATCAAAGCGACAGGAACCCGGGCCAGAAAAGAAAGCGGCAAATCTGCGCCGTGGTGGACTCCTATGTGCAAATCTACACACGCCAAATACCGAGCCGCAACAACACCGACACAGCGGGCCACTTGTGCAAAGAAGCTTCGTGCGACAATCACAGCCGCCAAGAAAGAGTATCAGACAAGTCAAGTGGAAGCAATGATAGCACCGTCTGATATATTCAAGCTGATGGGTTTGGTAAACTATAGACAGGCCAAAGCCCCTCCGCCACTCAATCACAACAGAAAGTTCATCACGGAACCGTTAGAGCGAGCTACCATTCTCCGAGACGCCCTTCTTGCACGCCACCAACAATCGGACGACCTTCCGCCATGCAACACTCCAAGCAATAATCAAATACCTTGGTAAGGTGAAATCTCAGACGAGGAAGTGCGAACTTGCACAATTGGCTGTGGAAAGACAGCACCAGGGGCAGATGGAATCACGGTTGAGCTCCTTGAGGCTTGCTGGAAGACGATCGGACCGTGTGTTACGCAGCTCTTTAGAGCCTGTTTACGGCTGGGCACTCATCCATCTTGCTTCAAGCCGGCAGAGGTGGTACTACTGGAAAAGCCAATTAGGGATCCAACCACAATTAAAGGCTGGAGACCTATAGCCCTCCTATTGTGCATAGGCAAAGGGTTAGAAAGAATACTGGCCAAGCGAATGGCGCACCTCGCAATCACTCATGATGTGGTTGGCCATCAACAATTTGGTGCGCTCCCAAAGCGATCTGCAACAGACCTGGTTTCCTACGTAGTCCATGATGTCGAAGAAGCTCGCTCTCAGGGTGTCACAGTTCAAATATAGAAAGCGAATGGGCATTTGTATGATTGAAAGGTAAAGCTATAATTCATCTATGTAGAAGCAAACTACCTACAAGTCTCCTCTACTACTTATACACATCCAGAGGTATCTAAATCTAGCCTACGTTTACAGTGGCAATGAAACTGACGTAAGGTTTGTTCTGCCACACGGGTAACGCTTCCGATACTCTTGGCACTATCCTTTACGTAGCCTCAGTGGCGATCTCATATCAGTTTTCGTCTGCTGATAATCCTCGGAGTGATAGATAATATAGGTTGCCTTTGATAGCCATCGAAGGCTACAGGGCTTATCGGCTCACAAGCCGTCACACAGGGATGGGCCTCAACATTTTTAACTTTAGACGTCCAAGGAGCGTTCGATGCAGCTCTCCACAATTGCTTGGTTAGGCGCATGCAAGCTCAGGGATGGCCAGACTCAATCCTCTGATGGACGACTTCATTCCTCACACATTGGAAGGTACAAGTGCGTTTCTCCGGCGGAGTCATCACCCAGAGAGAGCTGGTCTGTGGAGTCCCGTAGGGTTCCCCAATGTCGCCATTACTATTCCTTCTGTATATGGCGGAGCCGATGAAAAGTGGCAACTCAGGATCGAGGTTTAGCTACGCCAATGATATTGGAATTCTAGGGTTTGGACGCACAATTGCTGAATCTACTGCTGCCGTACAAGGTAAGACAGATCATCTTCTCGAATGGGCGCGGAATAATGCTGTTGACTTTGACACGGAAAAATCGGAAGTTATTCAATTTCCAGGACGACGCCGAGAAGAAGCAGTTGGTGTTCATTTTAGCGGAGCCCTTATCGAGCCTGCGGAAAATATTTGCTGGTTAGGCGTGAATTTGGATCCACGACTCAATTTCAAACATCATGTAACTACGTGGTGCAGTAAAGCGGTAAAAGTTGTCCAGCACATGCGCCGTTTCAACTCTGCCTTTCGGGGAGCAGCTCCTGGGCCATTGGCCAAGGCAGTAAATATGTGCGTTGTCTCGCTCGCAACCTTTGGATCTGATGTCTGGTGGCTAGGGTCCAAACGCCCGACCATTCGAGGAATAGTCACGTCCTCAACCTCCAACCTCTGCAGCATGATTGACAGAGCGAACCTGATGGGATTGCGGGCTACACTTCCAGTAATGAGGACAACACCAAATGTAGTCCTTCACAGAGAAGGGGGAATCCCGCCGGCAAAGGTCATACTTGAGGGAAATTGTCTCCAGCTTTCGGCAAGGCTTAAGACCCTTAATGATTGACACCCTTTGAGGATCCGCGCTTCCGTGTGCCCGAATGTTGGCACCCGAAAATACAAAAAGTCTGCCAAGTCCTCAGGCAGACCAGAAATTCAGATGTCACAATTACAGCGTGCCTACCAAGAGCTTCCGGAAGCAGAGGCCCCTGAAAGTCTGATGCCAGTGATTTACCCTAGGAAATCAGGCTCAAAGCCGATGGAACGCGAATATTGCATTAGACGGATTAGCTACATGCCAGAAACAGACATTTGCGCATACTTGGATGGTTCATTGGAAGGACACAGACGCTCTGCTTGGGGTTTCGTTCTGAGGAAGGATGGGAAACTTATCAACAAAGGAAGTGGCATCAAGCACGGGGGAGAGGTGCTCGATTCAGAGATAATTGGAGCAAGGAAGGCTCTGGAGGCCGCACTGGAATTCACGGAGGACGAGCAGTTCAGGAAAGGTGGAGGTATGTGGCAAATACACGTGTTTCTCGACAGCCAGCAGGCTGTAATCGCATTAACGATAGGCTCGTCCTCAACTAGCCTAGAAGATGTACGCAAATTCCGTGCGTTATCTAATAAGGCTGGAATATCAGTGAAGTGGGTTCCAGGGCATGCAGGAATCCAAGGAAATGAAGAGGTAGACGCCATGGCCCTTGCAGCACTTCGAGAATTGGCTAGCCAGGAGACACCACCAGGATCATGTACTCTGGCACGTCTTCGAGGCCTCATGAATCGCAGACAGCAGAGATTGCTGGACAGTTGGTGGGAAGAGGCCTGTCCGCCTAAATACCGCCAACTCAACCTACAGGTGCGGAGACGCAAATCACCTGAATTGTCTCTCTCTAGGCACCTCCTCCGGGCACTAATTGCAGCACAAACAGGTCACGGCAATTTTGCGGCATACCATCGCCGTTTTAATAATCCACACGCTCCTATGGAGTGCTCTTGCGGGAAGGAAACTACTCCAACCCACTTCATCCACTGTAGCCGTCACGCACAACAAAGGCGTAGGCTCAGAAAGTCAATATCCCACGCTGACTTTATCAAAAAGCTTCTCGGGCCCAAGTGACACAATAGCTTCAAAATATTTGCGTAGGAAACCAGCTGTTTTGATAGCCAACCTGCCCACTCATCCTCTGCTCTCAGCGGGGATCAGACAATCTTGTCATTGCCATAACGCATGACACGAAAGGGAACGAGGCGAGAAGTGTTGTTTCACTGAGTAAATTTTTCTGTACTTGGATTTAGGGTTGAAGGATGGAGTTTCGATTTCGGAATCGGAGTAGGTGGTGTCTTCTCAGTTATAATTTACCTTCTACTTTGTCTGTAGCGGGTCTCGCGGTTGGAATGAGTTGGGCCTGTAAGCAGTGATCCCCGTCGGCTCCACCAGTCTTGTACTGAAAGTGGACCTAGAGCTTTAGCTTAGGACTTTAAAATAAAAAACAAAAACAGAATTGTACAACTCTTTACTGAATCATTACAATTGATTGTGAAACTACCCCGTAGTTAATCCAACAGTGTATGTTGGTATTTAGAATAATTGGGCTTATCAAGTAGGCCACGTTGTTGATACACACGTGACTACAAATTCTGTACTTAGTTTCACTCTGGTAGTTACTTGAATCAATGAGCTCTACAACCTCAATGACTGAGGGGTCATTATTCCCTAAATAGGTTATGAGTTCGGATTGTTGCTCGCGCAATCACTTTGTATTGCCCGGAGTTTGATACTATATTTGTAATGGGCAAATAGAAGGGCATATGCTCTACTTGCGCCAAATTAATCCAACCAGGAGGCTGTCACCTTCTTGAACCCAAGACAATGCCATCACCTTTTAGTTGCAACCTCTAAAGAAAAGTGAATGGCCGTCGCCTGAGAAGACAGGAGGTTATTGCCTTTGTTAGGGAAAGCACAGGTCGAATACTGAAGATCGGGGTCGCTGCAAAACCCTCGTGAGGATTGATAGTTCCCAAACGCACCGGTAACCAGCCCTTCGATGGACTCTGAGAGAGAGCTCTTGGGTCAAATGAATTGACCCGAAAAATCAAAAAAAAAGAGAGCACAAACTGGCAGCTACAGTATGAAAGCTGCTCTCAACATTGTAGTCTTACAGCTACTCTTCGATAGCCGTTAATTTCAATTCTTCGACTCTTTTCCAAAGATTATCCAAACCCTAAACTGACAGTTCCTATCCAAAAGCTGTTGCAATAAATTTTGCTGCTGATTTCCGACAGCAGTTCGAACCTCAACCCAGCAGCTCCCCTTCGAAAGCTGCTAATTCTACTCTCAAAAATATTTCTTCTCATAGCCTTCACATTCATCTAAGCAGAGGGAAACTTGTCAAATTATCCGACAACAAAAGTCTCTTCAATAGCCTAAGGCTCCAATTTAACACCCTCTTTACGGCTATCTTCATTAAACATTATATTGTTGTAGGGGAGATTAAGTCAAAAAGTAGAAAAACAAACAGTGACAAAAAAGACCGAAGCAAGATAGAAAGAAATCCAAGTGGAGCTTGGTGATAGTATAAGAGAGCTGTCACATGGTACGCTCTGGAATAAAAGTCTTCGGAAGGGATACACTAGTGGTGCATATTGCTTGTGGAGGGGAACAAGACTATGGAACACTAGTGATTTGGATGGAATAAAACACTGGAACAACCACAGTACGGAAACTGGGGGAGTGTATTTGAGAGCTGAGAAAGGCTGACACTAAGATGCCAAATACTGGGGGAGCCTTGGAGTTGACAACAACAAACAAAAAGGTTACTCGGGATAAGCTTAGGACTCTACGGTGTTTGTGGGGGAAAATGAGAGGAGATTAATCAATTCCAAAGGATACATTGCTTGGATTGATTCATCGGAAATGCAAAGACCAGTTTGGAGCAGACAACTAACCATTCAAGCAAACGTCTATTGAAGCAAAGATACAGGAAGACAAGGAATAAGCCCAATTAGTCTATGGAGAAGTGTTAGAATTTAGAATAATTGGGGCTATCAAGTGGGCTACTGTTGTAGTTATGAGCTGTGAGGTATATAGCAATTATGTCTCTGCTGTCTGTCGGTGGAGTTACACGGGCTCATGTGCAATGGTGAGTCGCGGAGATGGCGCGCTCACGCTGGGTGATGGCACAATGGACACTGAGTGCGTATCACTGTGGCCAAATGGGTGTCAGTAGGTATCAAATGTGAACTCTTACTGACGATGGTGATCTATGAAGGTGATGCTAGATGTGCATCCCGACAATTGATAATATCATCTAATGGATGATGTGAAGTATGATATTATGTTGGATAGATTGATTCACTAAACTCGGCAGGTGAAGAAATTGTAGAGTACATGAACAGCGTCTGTGCATCAGCCTGTATTTTCCACCCTTTCCTAATCCAGCAGCCCATCCTCTGTTCCCCTGTCTCCTAACAACTCAACCGAGCCAGCACAACAGCTACCTTGTTGATCTGCACTTGATTGCAAATTCTGTACTTAGTTCTATTGTGAGGTTATGGATTGTAGAGGAATGCTAGAATGGTATAGGGAGGTGAAGGATATATGCCGACTAACGAAGCAGTTAAATAGAGCTTAAGTGTGAAGCTTGGTAGGATGACACGAAGAGGGTATGAATAGACCTTTAGAGATATTGTTGAGCAGAATTTCCTTTGTTTGGGTTACATTTCAGTGAATTTATGATTATTTATTCTGATGAATTTGTAGGGTAGTATTCACCTGAGTTACGTATCAGAGTTAGTGGAAAGCCGGGAAGGGAGACAGTATTTTCAAACAATTCAAAAGTGAAGTAGTCTAGATCAAGGACAAAGGGTGAGATCGGAGTTTGGGGGGTGTAATGTATATAGATAGAGATTACACATAGCTTGAGGGACATGCACAAAAACTTCTTTTCTCAAACATCCTGACTGAGTCTATTTTGTTGAAATATGATATATCTTGGAATGCCAAGAATAACTTATTAGTAAGTCCGGCTAATTTGACTATCAAATTCCCCATTCTATATCACTGTTATCAATACATCATTCACCGAAAGTTTAATGCGCATTAGCGTTTATTTCACACTAGCATTCCAGCGGATGACTATGTCTCAAATGCAGGTTATAGTTTTCTCGTATCTATTACCGACACACATGTATTTAGCTTTATATTCCTGACCCATATATGTTTATGTACATAGATCTACATCTACATGGATCATAACTTACGATCCATGGAGATTGATAAATACTGGTCAAAAACCACAGTTGATAAGATATGCGAACACGCAATCTCACTCTTATCATCTCGGTTTTACTCTGAACCACACATCTAAATACAATTGTTTCCACTCGGATCTTCCTCTCACAACCTCATATGAGACTTACTGCATTGGTCTAACCGCTGACACTGATTCCGCTACAACCTCCATCTTTGCTAAAGCTCATAACTTTAACATGAAGGTGATGCTAGATGTGCATCCCAACAATTGATAATATCATCTAATGGATGATGTGAAGTATGATATTATTTTGGATAGATTTATTCACTAAACTCGGCAGGTGAAGAGATTGTAGAGTACATGAACAGCGTCTGTGCACCAGCCTGTATTTTCCACCCTTTTGTAATCCAGCAGCCCATCCTCCGTTCCCCTGTCTCCTAACAACTCAACCAAGCCAGCACAACACCTAAGCTCTGTCTCGAACAGTATTACTACGCAATCCCTATGAAACGACCCTATGTTCCTGAGCCTGTCCTAATTGTTTTGGAACTTGATCTAACCCCGAGTTGTGTTTTAGAATGGAACTCCCCATGCGACACCATCCTAGTTTCCGCCATGTTTATCCATGAAAGGAATATGCTTTAGCGATCTGAAAAGAGATAAATTGTCAGACATGTGTGTAGAAGCGCCAGCATCACTGGCCCAAGTAGATTGAGTAGCCTTACTGATAAGTGCTCGAGATATCTGAGCATGTTTGTGAGTTAGAACATCCAAATCTAAATCCAAATCTTCTTCAACTTTCGAGTCAGAATTTGTACAAGCTTCATATGCCCTGTCCCTGCCTTTGAAGCCAACCTTCTTTTCCACATTTTTCCGATTTCAAATTTGTGAAGGAGAACGGGCCTGAGAAAACAAAGAACGACATGCATCCCTCTGCTTTGGTGTAATACAAATGGATTTTGTTGTTCTAATGTATTCATGGACAGCATCTTGTGCGACCTCCATAAAAGGACAGGCTTTGATAAAATGTCTTCTTCCACATAAGTAGCATGGTGGAGAATATCCTGAATCTTCGCTCTGTTCTGAGGTTGTTTGTAAGTCTCTCAAGAATTGGTTCTTATCATTTTTAAAGCTAGGAAATGCATTCTCATTACGCTGGCTTGAGATAAGACGACTCTCTTTGGTTTGAAGCTGCTTTAGTTTTTCTTCCACTGGAAGATCTTTCATAGCGTCAAGAGTGTCAATTGTTGCTTTTGAAATTGGCGCTACTTGGCAATGAAGAGTTGCATTAACATGGAATGTAATAAGGTTCGAATATTACTAGGATGTTCATGACAGCTCATACATTAACCAGCCTCCCAATTATCTAGCATACGCTAGTGAATTGTGTCCTTTGCTTAGCTGTAGTAATTAGTTTAAATAGCGCTCTGATACTAAGTGGGTTTAATCAACAACTCTCCACTATAGTTTTCAGACTCTCCAATCTCCCAACTCGCTTCACTAGGTGATATTAAATACAAGCTCAACAGCTTACGCTACTCTATACAACTTCCATTACAACAGTTGTTGAAATGTGATATATCTTGGAATGCCAAGAATAACTTATTAGTAAGTCCGGCTAATTTGACTATCAAATTCCCCATTCTATATCACTGTTATCAATACATCATCCACCGAAAGTTTAATGCGCATTAGCGTTTATTTCACACTAGCATTCCAGCAGATTACTATGTCTTAAATGCAGATTATAGTTTTCTTGTATCTATTACTGACACACATGTATTTAGCTTTATATTCCTGGCCCATATATGTGTATGTACTGTAACGGCTGTTAAGCCTAGGGATTCCTGTAGCCTACGCTGGCTAGCGCAGGCAATGAATGCAAGGGAATCTTCGGGAAGGATCTCGGAATACAAGGAGCTTAGAAGATTCTCAATGAACTTTCTGGAAGCATACTGAAGATTTATGAGGACCACAGGTGTATCAAGAATCTTCTAGGATATTGTCGAGGATTCCATGTTATTCCAGATATAGGGAGAACCTTACAGAAGAGGAGTATCTCAGAGTGTATATATATTTGTATTCTAGCTATAGGAATTCTCTCTCTAGAGAATTATAATTAATATACTGTACCTGCAAGATCGCCCAAGCATGTTGTACTGAAACCGTGACATGTACATAGATCTACATCTACATGGATCATAACTTTCGATCCATAGAGATTGATAAATACTGGTCAAAAACCACAGTTGATAAGATATGCAAATACGCAACCTCACTCTTATCATCTCGGTTTTACTCTGAACCACAAATCTAAATACAATTGTTTCCACTCGGATCTTCCTCTCACAACCTCATACAAGACTTACTGCAACAGTCTAACCGCCAACACTAATTCTGCTACAACCTTCATCTTCGCTCAAGCCCATAACTATAACAACAGTTGCAACATACTCCTTTGGAAGGGATACTACTGGAATCAAAAGTAAAGCTTCGTCCTGACAAGAGTGTTTTGATCTCACATCAGCCGTGCACAACTTCCGTTGATACTCTTTTAACTTATCCCATCCTTGAATGATTGTCATGTCATTAAAGGAGAAATTCAGGATGAGTGTCATGTACTCATTAGCAGTGGTCAAATCAGTCTGCTAGTATTTTGAACAAAGATAGGCCCAAAGACTGAAGGCGGAGTCTTACTCATCATACAAGGCCTAATCACCAAGAGAAAGTGATGTAAACATTAAGTCAATTGCGGTTCCCTCATCTCGAAGGTACTTCTCCTTTTTGTCTATGTTAAGAATGGGGTCATGAAAATTCTTAGCATTATCTGGAGAGGATGCCACTCAACATGCATTTGTTAATGTTTGGGTAACCACATAGTATACCTCTCTTCCTCTTAATTTTACCTGATAATGGTGGAACTAAGAGTCGTGATTCTTTCCATTCAGGACAGGTATACCCCAGCTATTTTCTTCCGACATTCTCTGTAAAGTTGGGGTGGAGGTTACTGATAGTATTTTTTTTTTAAATTATCTTGTCGAACGTGCACCTAATCTTGTGCTTGACGCACCCGAGAAAAGGTTGATAAAATGGACTGCTTGTGCTTTGCGTTGCACTGGAGAAGTCGGGTCAGGGATTGAATTACTCACAGTCCCAGGGGTCGTTTCCTTTTACTACTTCAATGCATGTGCACCAAGTCTCATAACCTATTGAAATGTATAACCTACTACTTAGTTTGTGGACTTATTGGTAGAGGGAAGCTTATGCAATAATGAAGGATAAAAGGATGTCAATTTGACTACTCTACTAAACACAGGTACCAGACTCCTTTTAATCCCAATAGATAGCCCGTGCGGGATCTCCTATTGTCAGTAGTAAACAACGCTAGCACAGGGTATACGCAATCTCCATTTGCCAAACACCAGTCGGTCGGGACTACTAATTATCGAGCCTAGTAAGATTGACAAAGTGTATCCCAACACAGAAATTATAGGAAACTCGACAACCAAACCCTTCATCAATTACTTCCAGTAACCATCACCTGACTTATCTCTGTACTTCATAATTTCAATATATAGGTGAAATGTAAAGCATAAAAAGGATTGGGGAGGCGGAC